GAAGCTCCATACGGTAGGCCATTCCAGAGTTTCGGAGCTGCTGTTGAGAATGATCTTTCTCCAAATGTTGTGAGCATCTTTCCATTGGGATGGTTCAATAAGAGCTTACCAGTAGACCTAAAATTGTATAATGAATTCGTTTTTATACTAATAAGATCACTTAGATAAGTTGGCGCTAGGCCATAAATACATTTCAAAGTCAAGATTCAAATTTTATAGTCAATACGTAAAGAAACCGGCAGCCAGTGCAGCTCAAAAAGCGCCGGTGTGATATGAGGAAACTTTCCGATACCAGGAATAAGTCTTGCTGCCGCATTTTGAACACGCTGTAATTTAGTGATCTGCACCTTTGGTAAGCAAAACAATAAACTCTTACAATAACGAAGGCGGCTGGTTATAAAAGCATGAACCAAATTAATTAAAGAATCTCTCGAAAGATATTACTTAATACCTCTCAAGTTATGTAAATAAATGGAGGTCCCGTCTCGTGCAGGCTTAGTGGTAGAAGACGTTAATTTCCCACGCACGAGATTACTGTGTGATGGATGTCCTCCCCTGGGGTGGGACGGGTGGGTTAACGTTGTTAAGCGCTTGGGAACATCTTCCTGTGGACCTCTGCGCTATATAAATAATAAATTCTAATTGTAATTGTAATTGCAATTGTAGAATGCCGTATTACAAGCCTTCTTTATATGATCAGTCATGCTTAGGTTGCTGTCAAACCACGATCCGAGGCTTTTAACACATGGGTTCGGACTGATACGATTATTGCCGAACACGAATCTAATTGATCAAGCTGTTGTCGTGTGTCGACCAACAAAAACTCCGTTTTGTCATGATTGATCATCAACCGATCTCGAACTATCCATTTCCTCACTGCATCGATGCACTTTTCCATAGCTTGTATAGCATCAGCTTGAGCTGTGTTACCAAGTGGTTTAAAAGTCAGATACAGCTGCGTATCGTCTGCAAGACAGTGAGCATCGGGAAGATAATGTTCCACAATCTCAAATAGCTTGGATGCATATATTATGAAAAACAAAGGCCCTAAACATGAGCTTTGAGGTACCCCGCAGTTCAAGTAAAAAGGACGAGAAAGAATCCCTTGTGCAGAAACGCGCTGACTTCTATCAGACAAATACGATTTAAACCAGTTTAAAGCAGTCCCACGTATGCCAACCTCGTCAGACGGTAGGGGACAGCAGGTCATAATATATGGAAGACGTTCGGAAAGGCATTTTTTTCATCTTTTAGTTGATCTCTAGACGAACTCAATTTCTCCTCGATGACTCGAATCTACGGTGGCCCATAGGGGCAAATCACAACTCAATTTCTTTTCTGAAACACAACAATCTTTTCGAGAACACAACAATCTTTGCGAGAACAAAACAATCTTTTCGAGAACACAACAATCTTTACGGGAACAAAACAATCTTTTCGAGAACACAACAATCTTTTCGAGAACAAAACAATCTTTTCGAGAACACAACAAAATTTTCCAGAACTCTAAAAACTCATAGTACTCATACGAACAAAAACAAAAATTTCAGGTGTACAATGTCAACAAGATTTAAGGAAATGAACAACTTAGGAATT